AAACCATCTTTGACATATAAGATACAAACACAGTTCACAATGTTGTAACACAACTCTCAAATAAACTTTTATTCTGTATTTGTAACTCCAACAAGAATCCGGTATCAAAATAACACAAACATTCACACAAACATGTGTTTTAAAAGAGCTTTTCGAAAGACCAAGCTCCCACCTTATATACATTACCCCTAAAACTCCAGAGTAATCAAGAGCTTTCTATATTGCCTAAGTTCCTCATTGGTCACATTACATCATAATTAACCACTAGCATTATTGCCTCTACAGTACCCAAGACTCCAGAAACTCCCAAATATTACTCTTGGATTCTACATGGTGTCATGTGTTCCTATAATTACCAATGTGGTTTACACTTGTTTATTTGTTCAAATAAATGCAATTCTAGAATGTTCTATGTAATAAATATGTTACAATAAGGAAAGGAATGGTAATTTATTACACTCCCCTCTCTTTCTGAGCTCAAAACTCTTCTGTAGAGTTTTGAGGGCATGGTTTATGTGGGTTTATAAAATTAACCTTTTCCACCGCAAAATACTCTTTTATCAATTAAAATATACAACATTCTGAACTGAATATACACTGTTGAAATACACAATCAAATAAATTATATTATGACCAACATGTTCAGATAAACAAATGTATAATATACATCTTATATTATATAGTTTTTACAATTGTATATAGGCATATTTCAAACAACTATTTGTTTGCTTTTATTCAAACACATTTATAAGCTGTGTTGTAAAATTAAGTTTTCCGGGAGAGCCTGTCAGCATTACACTGTTGGAAAAACCCCTTCTATGCACCACTGTAAAGCAGTAAGGTTGAAAATCGAGACTCCATCGAGTGAGTCTTTTGTTGGTGTTCCTTATTCCATTCAGCCATTTTAGTGGCTGATGATCTGTCATTATCTTAAACTTCCTACCCAACAGATAATACTGTAGGCCTCCTACTGCCCACTTTATGGCTAAACACTCCCTCTCAATTGCATAATTTTGCTCCCTTGGTAACATCTTACGACTAAAACTGATTTTTCTATTGATATTTTCTGGGATTATTGTTAGTAATATTTAATTCCTTATAACTTTTCAAAACTTTTTATATTCACTTACCATCAGGGCCTAACTGACTGAGCACCGCACCTAACCCCCGATCTGAATAAACTCTGCATTAAAGTCTGGGTTTCGTAAAGCCGGACCAGAACACAATCCTGTTTTCAGCTTTACAAATTCCACTTTGCAATCAGGCATCCACTTAACATTTTCTGGCAATTTCTTTTTTGTCAGATCAGTCAGAGGAGCTGCAATGTCAGCATAGTTAGGGATAAACTTACGGTACTTACTACCATCTCTGTCTTAATCTTTTGAGGTCGCACCATCCCCTCTCCTATTACATACCCCAAATAATGCATTTTGCTTTGTGCAAAACTACACTTGCTAGATTTTACTGTCAAGTTGGCCTGCTTGAGGGTCTGAAACATTTCGCTGATATGATGGACATGGCTTTCCCAATCTGGGCTAAAGATCACATGATCATCCATATAGGCTGCTGCATAGCCTTCTTTCCCAATCAACAGATGATCCATCATTCTTTGAAATGTTGCAGGAGCCCCATGCAAGCCAAATGATAAGTACTTAAACTGGTACAACCCCATTGGTGTTGAGAAAGCTGTATATTGCTTTGTCCTTTCTGTTAATGGAACTTGCCAGAACCCTTGCATAACTTAGTTATGAACTTGGCTGGACCAACTCTACCTATTATATCTTCTACTCTTGGCATAGGATATGCATCAAACTTGCACCAACTACTTTCTTGTAATTTATGAAAAAGCGAGCTGTACCATCAGGCTTTGGTACCATTACGTAAAGAGAAGACCAAGGATTGTTAGACTCTTCTATTAGCCCAAGTTCTAACATAGATTCTACTT